CACATTTTGCATGGAACATACTTACTCCTCCATAAAGCAGATAATCCTGAACTTTCACCCAGCTCCTACAGATAGCATGGAGTCCAGGTACTCTGTGCAGGCCCCTCTTTCAGGTCCAAATGTGGTTTCTCATGGCCTGATGACTCAAGCTAAAGGTTAAGTTTTCCGCTAAAATGACAAAGACAGTACCAAGTGTTGGGAGAATGGGGAACAACAGAACTGTCCCATGCTCTTGCTGGTGTATAAATTGTCACAGCCACTTGGAAAAACCTATGGCAGTATCTGATAATGCCGAACATCTGTGTTCCCTATGAGCCAGCAGTTTCTATTCCGAGGTAGATACCTGATGGACATGTGAACAGATGTGCAACAAAAGAAATGTTCCACAACATTCAAAGCAGCATTATTTGTAAGAGCCTCAAACCCAGATGTGCAGAGACAGTAGAAGAGAATAGCATACAGAAATGAGAATGATCTACACACACTATAGATGAATCTCAAAATGATGTTGAGTCAAAGGAGCCAGACACAAAAGAGTATGTACTGTGTGATTCCATTTATAGAAAATACAAAAACAGGTAGAACGGCTCTGTGCTATTACAAGTCAGGATAGCAGTTCCTTTTGGGGAGAGAGTGGTACTTGGAAGGGAACACAAGGGGGAATGCCAGGGTGTTGGTAATGTTCTGTTTCTCAATCTGGGTGCTGGTTATATGGGTGTGTTCCATTTCTGAAAATTTGTTGAGTTGTATGCTTTTCTATATGTGTACTTTCCTTTGTGTATACTATTGTGAATTAATACAAAATATATATGCTGGTCTCTGCCCTTGGCTCCTGGCACAGAGCTCCTAAAACCTCTATGATTTCCCAAGTGATAAGAACACTAGGAACATTTTTTGTTCTAATATTTGATCTTTGATCCTGGTTCCTGACTGGTTCCCGACACAGTTTCTAAAGCCCTTGGAATTTTCTGGGTGATAGGAGTGTCTTTTTTCTAATGAGGTGACTCTTGGTGGGCTCCTGGATAGCTTCAGCATGGGGGCTGGACACCAGAAAGACCACACCATGATTAGAAGCTTGGAACTTTCAGCCCCACTCCCCATCCTCCAGGAAGGGGAGAGGGATTGGGGATTGACCTATTAATAATAATCAATCATGCTTATGTCAGGAAGCCTCCATAAAAATCCCAATAGTACAGGATTTGGAGAGCTTCTGGGTTGTGACCATGTGTTGGGAGGGTGGTACACCCCAACTCAGCGGGGACAGGAGCTCCTGCGCTTGGAATCCTTCCAGACCTCACCCTCTGTATTACCAAATCTGGCTATTCATCTCTATCTTTTATAATATAATAAACTGGCAAACATAAGCATTTCCCTGAGTTCTGGAAACTATCCTAGCAAATGATTAAGTCCAAAGAAGGGGTTGTGGGAACCTCCAATTTGTAGCCAGGTCAGACAGAACTTGTAGGTAACCTGGGGATCTACTAATTGTGACTGTCATCTGAAGTGGGGGGACAGTCTTATGGACTGAGCCCTTAAACTGTGGGGTCTGCACTAAGTCCAATTAGTGTCAGAATTGAATTGCATTATAGTACACTCAGCTGGTGTTGCAGAGAATTGCTTGTTGTGTGGAGAAAAATCCATGTACCTGGTGTCAGAGGTATCGTGTTTCTGAGTAAAGGAAAACAGGAGTGTGTCTTTCCTCTACAACTGTACAACAATAAAATGTATAAAAACACTTTCAATGCACAGTGTGAAGGAACAACGAAAGCTTCCTTTTGGGGGGAAAAAAAAAGAATGGAAAGCATAATATACCCCCTTCACTAACCCACATCACTTCCTGCTAGACAGATAGAGCAAGGGATCTCTTCCGTGGCAGTGCGTTAAGTTTTTCATTAGGGAATCTGGTGGCTCCTCACTTCTGTCTCTTGGTTGTGCGGAATGCACAGTGTTTGTATCCTCCTCCCTGTTGGAGGGAACTCAGAAATCCAGGGATTGCCCTAAGGGTTAAACAGTAACAGACCAATGTTGACCAGGCTTGAGACTTTAGGGACACAAATGATTCCCTCAATCATTTGTTAGGCTTCTGGTCAATTCCATGCATGAGTAATCACAACCAAATAACTTACGTAGTTTTTAAATGGTTTTCTAATTAAAGATTAAAAAAATTTATTTTCCAAACAGGTAACATTTTTTTTTTTGTTAAAAAAAGAAAAAGCAATACAAAAAAATAAATTAAGGTCTTATTCTCACCTCTGTCCTCTTTTATTAGTTTCTTGTGTATACCTCAAGTGTTTATTTTTGCAAAACCAGCAAACGGAGTATTAGAATATTTAAGTCTTCGAGGGGCTTCTTTTTTGTGTGCTCACTTACAGTTGAGACAATTCAAAACAACAGCTGCAGGGAGAGATGTCACCTTGAGCCCATTTTTGCTACCTTGGGCCTCAGTCTTATCTCCTGATAAAGCTGCCCCTTCCCTGTTTCCACTTGTCCTGGCTTCAGCTTGGGTATACAAAGAAAATTATTTCAGACCAGTGAGGCCCCAAGTTGTGGGACTTGGCCAATTTAGGTTGTAAGCTGCCGGTAAGGGGTTCCTGTCTTACCAAGGCCTTATTTTTAATATCTACTTTCAAATCAGATATCTCTAATCTAGATTTGTCACTCTCTTGAAGGACTTTGCTGAAAGCTACTAAAGGAAAAAAAAAAAAAAAAGCCAACACCACTAAAGTTTTATATTGTTCCTGAGATTTCTCCTGCAATACTATGTTGGTTGGCATGCAGTCTGTATCCAAGGCACAGCAAGTGATGGCAGTTTGACAGTTTCACTACAGCTTAACAAGTTGGTCACCAACTTTCCAATTTGGGATAGAGAGTCTTCACCACTGGCTACCATAACCTTCATTAGCTAATTCCACATTTTAGTGTCTGTTTTTAAGTGTCCTACTGGTGGTACCGAATTGTTTGCCTGTTAGGAATGGGTTCAGCTACAAGTTACAGAATATTCACCTATAAATGGCTTAAGTTAATGTGTGTTCTCACTCATGAACTAGAATGGGGACAAGAAAGCTCTCCCAGTAGTCCAGATAGCAGATGATGGTTTCATGGATACCAACCATACTTCAGTAGAGCTGGGGGAAAACAAGAATAGCTCCTAGAATTTTGGCTTGAACAAATAAATGGGTGGCAGTGATATTCACTAACATGGACAAAACAGAAAGGTACATGTTTGCGGGGTGTAAATTAATTTGGCAGGAGGCCAAGTTAAGTTCTGAGATGCCAGCTGAACATTCATGTAAAGATGTCAAGTATGCAGTTTTTTGAGGAATTAGGAATTACAGGGAGAGGTCATCATTAGAGAAAAATTTGAAGTCACCTGCTTATAAATGGCACCTAAATCCATAGGACTAGATGAAATCATATAAGGAGAGTGGGTAGATCGAAAAAGGGACTCAGGAAAGAACCCTGGGTGCTTTGTTATTTATCGATTGAGCAGAAGATAAGCCAGTGAAAAGAACCCAAGAAAGAATAGCCAGTGAGGTAGGAGGACTGAGTGCATGATGTTAGAAAACAAGAGAAGAAAGTGTTTCAAAGTGGGAGTGGCTGACTGTGTTGAATAGGACTGAGAGGGCAAGTTAAAACAGAACAGAGAAGGGACCACTGTATTTGCATGGAGATAGTAGTTTCAGTAGCATGGTGGGGAGGAAACCAGAGAGCAAGCTTATATGATGATGGGAATTGTCTATTAGAGAGGGAGCAGTTGGTAATTCAAGAGAGAGATGATAGAGGCTAAGATCCACAGAAAAAGTGGAAGCATTAGGCACAGAATGAGAGCACAAGACCATGTCTTATTTGTGTATCTAGTAGCTTCTAGCACAGTGTCTAGTACATAAGAAGTACTCAAGAAATGTTACTGAATCAATGAATAAATGAGCAAATGGAAGAATGGATGGATGGCAGATGCAGGGCTGAAGAATGAATTAGGTCAAACAACTTCAGAGTAAGGAAAGAAGGGGGCCTTGCATTAACAGGGTTTCTTCAGGGACTTTGGGATCCTGGGCTTTTTCTCTGGAAGAGGGTTGACAGATTTCAATCTCAGATGAAGATGGGAGAAGGAATGAGGCACTGTCAATGGCAGTTACCTCGGCCAACTTTCAAGGCCCTGATCTGCTAAAGCAGAAAGCAGGGAGGGTTCTGGGATCATCTACTTAACCTCTTTTTTTCTCTCCCAGTCTCTCCCTTTCTGGATCCAGATTCATATGAAAGATGATTATGTATCTTTATGAACACAAGTGGGATAGGGGATTTTAAAAAGGACAGTTCCACATTCATTTACCCATCTGGTCAGTGGATATTCATGGAACAGTCTTGTATAGGGGAAAGTTGTAAGAGCAGCATTATGCGGGGCTTTTCTTTTGTTTGTGCATCTGTTTTTTTCTTGAAGTGCTTTGTCTTCTACTAAGATAGCAGGTGATTCCACTAACTGCACAAGTTAGGTGGTATTTGAACTGAGCTGCCCATAAAATCTTGGTGGGACTCGTATAAGACGAGTGAAAGGTATCGAAGATGATGAGGCTTGTGGAATACAACAAGCAAAGGCTGTTAGCCGGCCACTCTTGGAATCGCAGGATCCGTGGCTGGCTCCAGCGTCTTCTAGGCGTTTCATGAGGAGAGGAATTAGGATTCCTATTATCTTTCTTCCCAACCTGCAGGCGGAGGAACCGAGGAACCTGTAAAGGGGGAGGCAGACTGGAGGCCAGCTCTAGCGTCCGACCCATCCGCATTAACCATCCTACGTCCCACGCCGGACTACATTCCTACATTCCCAGCAACCTGCCGACACCCTGAAGGCTCAGGTAGCCCAACCCGGACCCGAGCCGACTGTCGCTGTAGGGAAGGCAGGCAAAGGAACTGCGTCTGCCTGGCCCTTGCTGGGCTTGAGCCCTTTACACGTGGAATCACCCCAGCGGTCCACACTGCGGGTCTCCGGGCGGGGGCGGGGCTCTTTGGCGCCAATGGGCGGGCAGAAGGGGGCGCGCGTGCGCACGGCGAGTCGGGTCGGGGGGCGGGGCCAACAAAAGCATTCTGAGGACGGGGGCTGGCGAGGCTCATGTTGGAAGGCTTCGCGTCTGGGGAGAACTGCTTGGAAACGGGGCAGTGAGGGTGAGTGAACTCGAGAACACCTGAGGCCCGGGCTTCGGCTTCCGAGGCCCGTGACCCAACCCTAGGTAATGAGGTCGGTGGGGCAGCACTCAGGGGTCCGTAGCGGGGCGGGATCCCGGCGCCCCTCTTCGGGGCTCGGGGCTTTGGGCTCAGGTCCCGGGGGGCGGGAGGGGGCGGGAGGGGGCGGGAGGGAGCGAGAGCGGTCTGGGTCGGGGTCGCTGGGAGCAGATCGTCTCTCCTGGAACAGGGCCGCCGGGGCCTTTGAAGCCAGATGGGTCCGGCCGGGGCCAAGTCCCTGCCTTCTTGGACGACCTGCACAGAGGCCTGGGGCGTTAATCTCCGTCTCCTGCCGGGACCCAGGTCTTGGTCTGGGAGAGACAACAAACAGGTCCTGGGCCGGGCGAGTGGAAGGCAGGGGAAGCCGACCTCCTCTTGTATCCTCTATCTGGGCATGGCACCGCCAAGCACCCGGCGCCCAAGCCAGAAACCTGGGCGTCATTCTCCCCTCCGGCACGGCACCCCTTTACCCACTCAATCGAATCCACCGAACATCTCATCTTAGGTATTTCCACTTCGCGCCTGATGCACAGTCCCTCTGTTGCAGCTGGTTCAGGCCACCATTGCCCCTGGACTACTTCAGTAGCCTCCTGACTGCACCTCTTGATCCTCTGTAGTTTGTTATGTACTGGAAAGCCAGAGTGAGATCTTAAATACATTGAATTTTTTTTTTTTTAAAGATTTTATTTATTTATTCATGAGAGACAGAGAGAGAGAGAGAGGCAGAGGGAGAAGCAGGCTCCTGAGGAGCAGGGAGCCCGATGTGGGACTCGATCCCAGGACCCTGGGATCATGACCTGAGCCGAAGGCAGACGCTTAACCATCTGAGCCACCCAGGCGCCCAAGCCAGAGTGAGATCTTAAAACAGATCTGATCGTGTCACCAGACGCCTTCTTCCCCCATTCCCTTTCCGGCTTCAGTGGATTCTCATTGTTCTTCCAAGCTCTAAAACAGAGCTTATATAGGCCCTTCATGAACTGTCTTTTTACTCTTTTTTGCCTTACTCTAGTTCTCTTCCCCACTCTGCTCCAATGGATTAGGTCCCCTGGCCAAACAACCCTCATCACATGGACCAGGTACAGTTCCTGCTTATCCTAGAGTACCACATTTCAGTTCCCTGCCAACCTGCAGAATTATTCAGACAAGCTAATCATATCCTTCCATCTGCCTCTACTGTGTCTTCAACCTTACCGAGCTTTTTTTTAGTTCCTGGATTGGACCAAGTTTCTTATAGGCTTAGGTGCTGGTTACATTATTTTCCTTCTGCCTGAAGTACTACACTTTAGTTGAAAAAACGCTTCTTATCCTTCATGTGTTACTCCAGGTGTGGGTTGGGGTTTCTGTGGTACTCCATGGGTGTCTGTTTACTGGTCTCTCTTTTCCACCAGGCTGTAATCAGTGTGACAGGAGCCCATCCGGGTCAGTGTTCTGTCCTCAGTACTTTGTGTGGCACCAGGCTGTTAGTAAGGAGTGTGTTGGTTGAATGCACAAATGAAGCATGGCCACTCCATGGGCTCTCCAAATAAGCATATAGATCAAGTTATTAAATGCTCTGCTTTTCAGAACCAATTCTGAACCCCCCCCCCCCCACCACCACCCATGTAGCAATTTCTTTGGCCTAGGAACCTCATTCTATTCTTGTCTTCAGTCCAGGACCATAGCAGTGGTAAATGGGAAGTATTGTTCAGAGTTTTTCTTTGGCACTGATTTTGGGTACAGGATGTCTGGGTATTGGTGAGTGTGAATTAACTCAGGGCCACTGGCATGAGACAAAAGCTGCTAACAGCCGCTGCAGTCTCGATGGGAGGAAGGCTGGCTCCCAACTCTTACTTGCTGATGGGGCTAATGACAATAGGAGGAGAGGGTGGGCCAAGCTGGCCAGGCCAGCCCTAGTGGGAGGGCTCCAAAGGGAAGTTATGTTTCTAACTTAGGCCAGATCATCTGTGGTAGGGAACAACGTATCTGGGGGCCAGAGCCCACTGCCCTGAATCAGACGTGAAGGTGTGCTGTTCTCTGGGCAGCTTAGCACTTTGTGATTGGTAGAGTAAGGGAGAGACAGATAAGATAGGCTCCTGGCCCTCGCAGAGGGAGGGAAAGAGAACAGTATGTGACTGTATGTTGTGAGAGGCTGCACTCAGGAGGGAGGAGAGAATGACTGGTGTGGCTGTAAGAATCCCCAGATGATGTGTGAAGGGGCCTGGAAGGGAGAGGGAGGATGGATTAATGAACAGTGGGAGCAAAGGCTCTGGGCCTGGAAGAGGCTGCTGGATCAGCGAGGGGAGCCCTGTTACACTCCAGGCACTGCAAAAGACCCACCACTGAGCATGGTCTGGCACTCTCCTTCCGGGACTGAGGCTCCTCCTTGTGAGGGATGTCTCAAAGCATGGGTTGGGTTCTGAAGTTGCCTTCAGAAGTCTCTCCTCTGGATTTTTTTCCAGTCTGGCCTTTATAATTTCTCAGAGGAGGCAGTGAGCCTGGGAACTGCTGGGGCTTATCTACTGTTTGCTCATGGCCTTGAACTAAGTCATTGGAGTATGGGTGATGCAACATGTTCTTCAGGCAAAGGGGAGTTGCTTATGTTTCTTTTGGAATGTGACAGTTTATTTGGTTAGATGACAGAGAGTTAGAAAACTGCTACAGGGAACCAAGATGGGACATGTTCAAAACCAGTGGTTCTTGGCCTTTATTCTGCTTCCCTTGAAGAAGGGATAATGTGGGTACATAGTTACTGTACTGCTTATCACTTGGTTGCTTTTTGGTGTTATTTAAATAGAGCCTGTCCCTCCTACACACACACACACACACACACACACGATCTGATATATTAAGCCTCCAACCATATAGTAATAGGAAACGGTGCTATGGGTTCATTGATCACTCAACTGTCTGATAGATATCTCAAAAAAAAAAAAAAAAGGTTTATGCTCAGTTACATTGACATCAAAACTTGGCAGTATATCTGTGAAGGCGGGAATCCTCCCAACCCTTAAGGACCATGGCACACAGGCTGAGAACTGCCGGCCTTTGTGCGAGGCACTGTGCCTGATGCTGGGAACGTGCCTGCCCTCATAGAGCTCAGTCCAGCAGGGAGCGCTTACAAGTAATCAGGCAGTTCTCAGGGTTAAATTCACAGCAGTTGTCAGGGCCCTTCTGAAGGGAGGCACTGGGGAGCATATGGGAAGAATGCCTAAGCCGGACTCGGTATTGAAGAAGGCTTGCTGGAGAAAGAGATGTCTACTGTGCATGAGTCTATGAGGTTTGGTTGGAACTGGCTTCCCTCTCTGGTCTCTCCTGTCCCAGAACTCTTAAGATACCTGGTTAGACCAAGCTGTTCTGCTCTGGCCTGGGCAATTAACTGCTGGGAGTAACTTGAGACCTGTTTTCAGGTACCAGGTACAGTGGCAGTGGCCTTGTCAGGGTCAGGACAGTTTTATTTGATAAAACTGGAAATGTAGTTTCTGTTCCTGAATTATTTTCTAGAGATGAGAATTAAATGAAAGCCCCTTTTTTAAATTCCATCCATACATATTGGAACAAAATAATGGGGTAAATTACATTAAATACATATTTATAAAGAAAGAACATATTTTTAGTAGAAACTTTAGAATTCATAGAGAAGTAAAAAGAAAAATCAGAATCACACCTCGTAATTCAGAAAATAATATCTAACAGTTTTTAGTCATTGTTCTATATATGAAATATGCATACACTTTTTTTTTCTTACAAAATTACTGTTTACAGACTTTGGCAATCTGCTCTTTTTTATTAAAAGATATTAAAGATCTTTTTTTTTTTTAAGTATTTATTTGAGAGAGAGAGATAGAACAAGAGAGCAAAATTGGGAGGAGAGATAGAGGGAGAAGCAGGCTCCTGCTGAGCAGGGAGCCCGATGCAGGGCTCAATCCCAGGAGCCTGGGATCATGACCTGAGTGAAGGCAGACGCTTAACCGACTGAGCTGCCCAGGTGCCCCTAAAAATCTTCTTTTATTGTTAAGTATGACATTGCATTATGATGTCCCTGTATGGTAGTAAGATTAGATGCTGCTTTTTGGCCCTCTGGAAGTTATATCCCAGTGGTGGTTGTTCCCTTAGGGAGAGGACTGTTGGAGGGGATACTGTTGATAGGCAAAATGGGTTTGGCTAATATTCCCAAACATTGTAGGGATGACATTCTCCCAGAGTCCCACCTTTTGGGATGGGTGAGGGGGCTTCAACACAGCTACTTCTCAGCTTCAGGTGCAGGGAGTAGAGGTAGCAGCAGTGAGCTCTGTGAGGTGGGTGCAAGGGAATGATTAGTACCTTAAGCTTTCTCTTTACTGTTGTCAGTTTGGGGTTGTGGTTACAGTTGGCCCATTAGAAATCACTGGCCTTGTTACCAGCAGAATCTGCGCTGCCTTTTGGGAGGTGAAAGTGTAGTCTTTGTGTTGGTATGGAGGTCTCTTGGCCGTCCTTCACCTTCCTTTCTGAGGTCAGTCTATAAGCCCCTGGAAGGACTGGGAATTTCAGTTTAGCACACAGTGAGTAGAGGCCTGCCTGAACCTTGGTGGGGAACGCTGGGAACGAAGCACTCCTGCCGTCAGGAGCTTGCAGTGGTGCTATGTCTTGTTGACCACAGTTCTAGTCTAACCAAACTCCAGGAGTACTTGATGGCCTCCTAATGTCTACGTAACTCTTTCCAGTGATCTTTCACAGTGGTTGGGTTACCTGCCTCTGCCACTGTCCTGGGAGATGGACGAGGCAGGGGTTAATGTCCTTTTCTCCGTGTCCCCAGCTGCAAGGCCTTCATGTGACCTGCCTCATCGCTTTCCTTAACTACCACATTCCTATCTCTGATCTTGCTCCACTAAATAGTGCCCCCCCCACCCCCGCATGCTGCTGGATGAGCCATTCTGAAACCTAGCTCCGATCTCCTCTCCCATTCACAAATCCTCAGTGGCTCCCCATTCATCCTCCAGAAATTTCAGCCTCCTTGGCCTAGTGTGCAAAGCCATATCCCATATGGCCGGGTCAATCTCTGTGTCCTTTGTCCACTATTCTGCCTGCTTCATAGCCTCTAGGCTCCCCCCAACTGAACCACTTGGGAGTTTCTTTCCCACTTGTCTGACCTGCTTCTCGCTTACACCATTGCCTTAGTCCTTCAGTCCCTGCACGTCCAGTGTGTGCTCGTCCATCCAGGCCCAGAAGTGTCCCCAGGTCCTTTAGCCTTCCCTGATTTTCCCTCACGCAGAGGAAATTTCTTCGTCTAAACTTTCAGTTTTGTTTTTCTTTAGGACACCTCACTTTGTGCCTTTTTTAGTGCTCTCCATAGGAAGTATTTTACCAGACTGTAAGCTTCTTGTAGGCAGGAATAATCTTTAAATCCCTTTAAGCTCTCATGAGTTGCTTGGCATTCTGAAGGAACTTTAGGAAATGTCATGGAGCCCTCCCACCCCCAGTCTGAATGATGGGGACTTGGCGTGCCCAAGGTCACCCCGCAGTCTAGTGGAAGAGCTGGCCTTAGGCCTAGTCTTCTGTAGTCTTGTTCCTTTCACTGAGTTCCTTCCCCAGGAGCACGCTGTGTCACGTTTTGAAAGAACCTTCACTCTGGTGTTTTCACCTGCACCTTCTATGTTCCCCACCTCCCAGGTACTGGCGACCATGAGATCTCTGCAGCTGCTCAGAACCCCCTTCCTGTGTGGCCTGCTCTGGGCCTTTTGTGCTCCAGGTGCCGGGGCTGAGGAACCTGGGGCCAGCTTCTCCCATCCCGGCAGCGTGGGCCTGGATAAAAATACAGTGCATGACCAAGAGTACGTATTCAGCCAGGGCTGGGGTCCCAGGGCCTCCCCTCTGCAGCTGCAGCCTATGGCTGGCTGCGATGGCTCCCTCCATCCGCTCCTCCCTCTGTTATTTGTACAACTCCTTGACATTTTTCAAGAACGATACTCCTTATAGCTACCTGTAAATCAGGCAGTCTTTTTTCCATCATTGTTTCATAAATGGAGGATCTTGAGGCCCAGATGGGATAAATGACTTGCCTGAATTCATTCTGTCTCTCTCTTTCACCAAAGACAGGTGTAGAGACCCCCCCCCGACACACACATTCATACTCGTGAGCGCATGCACCTTCTCGCACACGTACACACAAGGAGTAATGGCAGAACCCAGGCTGGAACTAAGGTTTCTTGACTGACCAGGCATTTTTCTTTTTTTACTGGCACATTTAAACATTGAATTATTTGTTGCAACTTTTGTCCTGGGCCAGTTAGTCTCACACATTATTTGTTATCCTTAAATTGGTTCAAAAACATTTTTTTAGTTGCTAGCCCCCAAAGGGTTTATAACAGCATTCTAACAATAAAGAGGGAACCATACCCATAGTCTTGCCAGCTTAACAGGTGAACTGTTTGACTTTTCCCCTGCCCCTTTCATGGCCTTGCCTGTGTCTCTCATCCTTGAGTGTGCTCTGCCACTCTTTCTGTTTGTTTTTCTGGGGTGGGTGAACTTTAAGATCTTGAACTTTCCAGTCCTTAAAGTTTTGGCATGATCCTGGGGTTGCTGCCGAGTGGTCTGAGTCTAACTATTGGTTTTTAGGCATATCATGGAGCATCTAGAAGGTGTCATCAACAAACCAGAAGCAGAGATGTCCCCACAAGAACTGCAGCTCCATTATTTCAAAATGCATGATTATGACGGCAATAATTTGCTTGATGGCCTAGAGCTCTCCACAGCCATCACTCACGTCCATAAGGAGGTAGGTCGGCCGAGGCTCAGTGGACAGCGTCTTGGAAAGCCTCCCCCCCCGCCCCAGCAGTTCAGTCCCCAGTCTTGATGACCTGTGCGGTCCTTGTACAACAGTATTGTTGCATCTCCTTTTCCTGCTCACCACTCCAATCTGCCTTTTCCTGTTCGAAGCCCCTTCTCGCAAAGGGTGACCTACTGAGGCAGAAGTCCCAGGGCCTGGTATCTCTGACAAGTGCTACAGGCATTTCTGCTGCACCCTGGAGTTTGAGAACCAGCGCCTAAAGGACAGACCACATGAAAATGCAGAGCAGGGGAGAAGTTTTATTTGAGAAGAGAGGCGAACCAGGGGACCAAGGGGTCGAGGGACTCAGCAATAATTGAGGGTTTGTGTGATATTATACAGTTCTCCATATGAAGCCGTTTACAGAGCGCTTTCAAGTGGGTTAGAGAGCTCATTCGATCTTTGCAACAGCCTGTGAGTAGGCAGGGCAGGCACTGTTACTGCCCCCAGTTAGAGGTGCGGGAACTGAAAACAAGATGTTCTGTCTCCAGTCTAGTGTCTGTCCCACTCTGCCACACTGCAGTCTGTAGAGAGGACGAGAGGCAGAGCTGGGGATGTGGGTGTGCTCCCACTGGCTGCCGGGAGAGCAGATTTGGGTTTGCTGGGAAGACAGTGGGGAGCGCTAATGGCTTCGTGCGGCAGAATGGCAGTGCCACTGGAAGATCTCCGGCTGTGGGAGGCAGACTGATGGACGTGGGGAGAGACTTGCATCAGGGAGAGAACCTGGGATTTGGCAGGCCAGGCTGTTGGTGGTGCTAGGAGAGCAAAGGCTGCACACAGGAGAGGTAGCAAAGGAAGAATCAGCCAAGGACGCGAACAGCGTTAGCTTAGCACTCGGCACAGTGAGCCCTGCTATATCTGCTTCTGGAGCAGGGCCAGTACCTTCACCTCAGAGATTGTGACAGGTTCTCCTGGTTGGCAGTGCCTTCCTCTTCTTGTTCTGACCCCAAGATGCTGTCCAATACAGACTGCTTGCACTTTCCAAGGGCATGTTGCGCCCAGAGCTGACCCTCAGGAGAGCCTGGGTTGTGAGCTTTTCTCTAAGATGAGTTTGTGGGTTTGGGGGAATTAGGAACCTCATAATTCTGTGTAAGCCAGACCTAGGTTTCTACAGCGAACGTGTATTACTTTTGTAATTAGAAAAGAAAAGTAATTTTTAGAACAAATAAGCAAGGGCCTGCTTTGATTGCATCCTTCTTTTTAACTGGCAAATATAAATCTAAATTGCATTGTTGTGAATTGACTCTATCTGATGTATGGTTTGTGGATTCTTAGAAGTAGCCACATGCTACACTGAAGGAGCTTTTGGACACATGAGCACGGACATTTTAGACATTAGCTAAGCACTTCCAGTAAAATGTGTGACTCATCATTGTCTAATTTGTATTTTGTAGGAAGGGAATGAACAGGCCCCACCACTGAGTGAAGCTGAACTGATTAACTTAATAGATGGTGTTCTAAGAGACGATGACAAGAACAATGATGGATACATTGACTATGCTGAATTTGCAAAATCACTGCAGTAGACATTGTTTGGCCATCTAGTTGTATGCAAATGTGACCCGTTACAATGTGATTGAACACTTTTGGTAATGCAAAATAACTCATTTCCAACTACTGCTACAGTATTTTGGTAAAAACCTATAGCAGTTTATTACACTGGGGTGAGAAAGAGAGATCAAGAGAAATATAAGAGAAATGGGACATATCGCAGTCCCCAAGTACTCAGTCTATTACTGGACAAGGGCTTGATTAAAGAATCCTTTTAAGAATATTGGATAATTGGAGCGTAGTACTCAGGAACTTGACTGTAGAATACTGCTAGTCTCTTGGTTTTCATTCATGCTACCTGAAAAGTAAGACAAGCTTTGCCAAGTGGACACACTTTTCAGTAACAGTGAAGGAATAGCATAAATGCCAAATGTTTCCCCCGGTAGAACCTGTCTCTTCAGGTAAAAGTGGTCAGTATTCTGCAAAGTTCCCCCGGCCTGAATGATGACGTGCCCCTGGGCAAGGGAGTATTAGGCTATTTCAAAGCCATTGTGTAAGAAGGAGGCCAGATCCTGCGTTCAGCTAGCCTTAGCGTCTTAAGATTCTGTATCTTCTGGCACTTTGGAAATGATACACCATTGACCTACATGATTAACATTTTTTAGTTTTTCAGTATTTTACAGAACTACTGTCACATCCTTTCTTTTATATCTTCTTCAACTTAGGAGAGACCTTGAATTTAAAAGTGTTCTTTCTTCTAATCATTAGCAAATGTTTTAGCTTTCTTACTGTTTCCAGGGTTTGTTTTTGAGGTTTAGACACTATATGGAATACAAGGACTGTATCCCTCCTGCTTGATGCGGTGCAGGATAAAGCTACTAGCTGGTCTTGCCTAAGTGAGGAGTGAGATCACCAAGCACCAATTGCTGCAAGCTATATTTAGAAGGAATGGTGCTTAAATTACCCCTTCCAGCTTAAATATGTGAATTCCTTCAGATCAGGAAAGATTAGAAAAAGAAGCCTAAAAACTCTTTAACAGTGTGAATCTCAGTAATGGTTGAAAATGAGAAGCAGCGGCAGACTGTAATTTGGTTTATTGGATGTGATGGACATGCCAGGATGGAAAACCCAAAATGGTGGTTGAATGGGGCAAAAAACTGCATAGGATTTGCTGAAAGACATATAGAGACTTATTTTCTTTATTAGAGTATTCTTATAAGAAAACATATGTATTTGTAAAAATGGTTTCTGTGTCAAGTATTTGTGCAATCAGAGCTGAATTGTAAACTATTCTTGTAATATCTAGTTATTTTGAAAGAGTTATATAATGAATCTTGGATATATGACCAATAAAACTGATAAACAAAATAAAGAGCAGTTGATTTTGTCCACATAGGGGTCTTCTCCTCCCACATGAAGGTTTTGTGTATTTAATACAGATGTTTACATGTGCCTACCCCATCACAGGCCCTACGACCCTCCTTGGCTGTGCCCTGTTCCTTTTGGCAGGGGTAGATTCCCAGTCATCCTTGATGCATTTCTTCTTCTGAATGAAACCACTTTTTGGACCTTTCTTCCCTGGCCATGTTCAGATTATGATAGCATTGTCTAGTTTAGGAAAATACTGTGTTTTCTCCTGGAGTCTTGGCGACTGTTTTTTCTTGGCCAGAAAATTTAATTAGGTAGCATTTTTGAAAACCTCCCAGGCCCAAGCAAAAAGCACAGTCTCCCCTGGCATTTTGAGAATAATGCTTTGTTCTGCCATTTGAAAAGGAAAGAAGGAAAGAAAGAAGGAGGGAGGATAGGAAGGAAGGAAGTTAACCATTGCCTTCTCTCTCCCTTGCCCCCCAAGATCCTTGGATCTTGCACTGACCCTTCTTCACCCAGAGCTGCCCCTCTGGATGGATCTAATGAGTGGCTCACGGTTGGAAGAATCTCATAGTGTTGGCAGCTAGGAAGGGACTGAGCAGCTGGAGAGGGAGAGAAGCAAATCGTCAGAAGGCAGAGTCACCCCATTAAAATAGACAAGACGGACACCTCCTTCCTCCACAGCTGGTTTCTCTTTGTAATTATTTCATGCTGGACTCTGTGGTCCTGTTTAGGAAATGTCCCTGGTGGGAGGAGCCTGTGATATTAGGGACACAGAGACATTCCTTGCATACCCCCTCTTGACCTCTTCTCTCCTACACAATACCTTGGCCTTCTCGTAGCCCACCTCAAGGATTTTTCAGAATGTATAAGGAACATCTCTGTACTGCAGTTTCCTTACCTCTAAAATGGAGATAAATCTAACCAAGAGAGGCCGCCTTATATGAGCATAAGCTTTGAACTCAGGCAGACCCGAGTCAGAATCCTAGGCCTGCTACTCCCCAGCCATGAACTTAAAATTTAGTTTCTCATATATATTTAAAAAACTACAATAAAACTTACTGAGAGTTTAAGAGGATTAACAAAATGAGAGAAAATGTAGAAAGCATCTAGTAAGTGCCTGACAATAGTACTAAACACTGAGTCACCCATTCCTCACTCTGGCTGGAGAGCCTGGGCCCCTTCCTCATTGCAGTGGGGGCTGGTGGGGCTGTAAAGGGATTGATGACTCCTCAGGGGCAGGGGTCGAAAGATCTTCTCTGTAGGTTATTCCATTGGATGGATAGATCATGATATCAATCCATTTATCTGTCGAACTACAGAACAAGTTAGGATGTTCTGTGTGGTACAATTACATGTGATGTCTGTTTGTCCATAAAGTCTTTAATACACTCTTACTTCTTGAGGAAATTGAATTACTGCAGTTTGAACAATCTTAAGCCTTAGTAAGTATTGCTAAATTGCTATCCGAAAGAGTTGTACTAATTAATACTTCATCTCTATTGTATATGAAGAATCTATTTCCTTTAGCTAGACCCATAACATAACCTGACAAGTTTCCCAAACACAGAGCGATGAGACATTAGGGCTTTTAATTTTTGACTAGTCCTGCATTTGTTCATTTGTTGATTCATTCATTATTTATCTTATGTTGGCCATGTAACCTCTCTGATTTAGATTCTGGATTTCAATTCCTTCTAGAGAGGAGAAAAAGAAAAAAAAACCTTTTTGTCATATTCCAGATTCCCCTGAAGGTGTTATCGTCAGAGGACACAAATACTCTTACATAACATCCCTGATAAAAACAAGAGCTAAATCACATTTCTACCTCAAGAGAAAATCCATTTTATCAAGGACCCAACAAAAGATCTAACATTTCAACCAGGAAATTAGTAGCAGAAACTATGAACATTATGTCTGAACTTTTGGATGTTAGAAACAAACAAAACCCTTTTGGGAAGATGGAATAGATAGACTTCTCTCTATTTCTCTAATGAAGTACAACAAAACCCTGGGAAATTATATATAAAGCAAACGTAAGAAGACTCTGAAAGGTGGAGAGAACAAGGCGGACTGGTTAGGGACATTGGGATGTAAGCAAATACATGGTGGTGAGTTCCGTCTTGTGTTTGTTTCTTGTGTTCTGTTTTTTTGCCAAATATATCCCAGACTTGGAGCTAAGGAAGCTGGCAACCGAGAAATTCCAAAAGGGGCATGCATAAAAAAGCCCCAACAAAAACCGCTCTCTCTAGCCAGGGAATGAAGAAAAGGGCAATCTCACAAGACACAAAACTTTCAGATAATAACTGCTCTGTTCCAGCCAAACACTACAGGGAAGACAGTGGCCCTGTCAGCAAAGGCCGAGCGGGGAGCCTGGGCTTCCATCCTTGCCAGGCTGTAATGAGGTGTCCTCCTCCTTTATGTGTCTGAGGTGATGCCAGAGGAGGCCAGGTAGGGAGCCGGGACTTTCATTCCTGCCACTCCCTGGGCAGTAACAAGGCCCCCCTCCTGCCCACAGGGTCAGTGGAGAACACGTGGGGATCCTGGCCCTGGAGCTCCACCCACAACTGGCTGGAGTGAGACTCCCCTCCCTCTTCCTGCCGGGTGTATCTGATGAGGCCTGGTGGAGGGTCAGGACTTTCACCACCCAGTGATAACAGCACTACCTCTACCTCCGTGTCAGTAGAGAGCCCGTGGGGACTCCAAACTCCCAACGCTCCCAGCCTTGTGTACTGATGGAGGCTGAGTGGGGAGTAGACTTCTCCCTTCACCTGTCAGGAAGGAGGCAGCCCCTGCCCTTGCCCTGCCGCAGTGGTGGCATGGAAAACCAGTTAAAGCAGGTTTAAATAAGATCCAGTCTCATGGTCGGAGCCGCTGCCGCCAAGTCCAGATCCAGCCTCGCGCGCCCGCCCGACGTGCACTCCCGATTCCTTTTGGTTCTAAGTCCAAAATGGCAACTCTCAAAGATCAGCTGATTCAGAATCTTCTTAAGGAAGAACATACCCCCAGAATAAGATTACAGTTGTTGGGGTTGGTGCTGTCGGCATGGCTTGTGCCCTCAGTATCTTAATGAAGGACTTGGCAGATGAACTTGCTCTTGTTGATGTCATGAAAGACAAACTGAAGGGAGAGATGATGGATCTCCAGCACGGCAGCCTTTTCCTTAGAACACCAAAAATTGTCTCTGGCAAAGATTATAAGGTGACTGCAAACTCCAAGCTGGTTATTATCACAGCTGGGGCACGTCAGCAAGAGGGAGAAAGCCGTCTTAATTTGGTCCAGCGTAACGTGAACATCTCTAAGTTCATCATTCCTAATATCGTAAAATATAGCCCAAACTGCAAGTTGCTTGTCGTTTCCAATCCAGTGGATATCTTGACCTATGTGGCTTGGAAGGTAAGTGGCTTTCCCAAAAACCGTGTTATTGGAAGTGGTTGCAATCTGGATTCAGCCCGGTTCCGTTACCTAATGGGGGAAAGACTGGGAGTTCACCCATTAAGCTGTCATGGGTGGGTCCTTGGGGAGAATGGAGACTCCAGTGTGCCTGTATGGAGTGGAGTGAACGTTGCTGGTGTCTCTCTGAAGAATCTGCACCCTGACTTAGGCACTGATGCAGATAAGGAACAGTGGAAAGAGGTTCACAAACAGGTGGTTGACAGTGCCTATGAGGTGATCAAACTGAAAGGCTACACTTCCTGGGCCATTGGACTGTCTGGCAGATCTGGCCGAAAGTATAATGAAGAATCTTAGGCGGGTGCATCCAATTTCCACCATGATTAAGGGTCTCTATGGAATTAAAGATGATGTCTTCCTTAGTGTCCCTTGCATCTTGGGACAGAATGGAATTTCAGATGTTGTGAAGGTGACTCTGACTCCTGAGGAGGAGGGCCCTTTGAAGAAGAGTGCAGATACACTTTGGGGGATCCAAAAGGAGCTGCAGTTTTAAAGTTTTCTAACGTACCACTTCACTGTCTAGACTACAGCAGCATTTTAGTTGGAGGTTGTGTATATTGTCCTTATTATCTGATCTGTTACTCAAGTAATATTAAAATGGCCTAAGAAAAAACGTCAGTTTCCTAAAGTTCCAAATAGCAATGGTTCACCAAACCCTGCAGCTGTATCCTGATGCTGATGATACCTGTCTTTGTAGCCCTAAATGGGTTAACGTAAGTTAGCTCCACCGTCTCAGAGGCACCACGGCCAGAGCTGCGGCCGCTCTTCACACCGGATGTGTGTTTACTGTGTGTTCTGTCACTTCGGGTTCCTTCCCCCAACACCCGACATGCCTAGTCCATCTTTTCCAGTCAGTCATGTCCTGAGATCCAATGTATAAATTCAATATTGCGTGTATTGCGCATAACTGTTCTAAAGGATCTTACTTTGTGTACCGTGTATGTCAGAATATAGTGTACATGGCCATATAATGTAAAAAGACAATGCAACCAACTAAGTGTCATACCAACTAAAATACCAAATAAATTTTGGAAAAAAAAAAAAAAAGATCCAGTCTCATTACATAATACAAAAATGCCCGGGTGTCAATTGAAAATCACTCATCATACCAAGAGCCAGGAAGATCTCAAACGGAAGGAGAAAAGATGCCAGCACTCAATGCAGGTGTTAGAATTATCTGACGAGGGTTTTAAAGCAGCCATGTTAAGAATACTTAAACAATTAGGAACAGGA